CCCCACCCCCAGCTTCCCTTGGTGCCTCTAGCAGAGAGAGAATTTGCAACTAAGGAGACTGTGGACCCTGACCCATTTCCTCCTAATGTTTCTTTCTGAAAATCATCAAACATACAGAGAAGTTTTGAAAGAACTGCATGTTGAGCGCTCATGTTCCCACCGCCTGGATTCTGCAGTTAGCACTTCTCTCCCTGCTTTCTTACGTATCTGTCCATCCTTCTCTCCATCTGTCAATCTATTTTATTGTTTGAGATGTTTCAAAGTAAATTGCAGCACGCCCCTGATGCATTTTGACAGTTAAACAGTGGATTGCAGTGGCATACAAAAGGAGATATTTTGTTGTTACTTCTGTTGTTCCACATTTTCTCCCCAAAACTTCTTACCAGTCTTGTGGAGCTAGCTCCCTCCCACAATGTCTTTTACTTCTGGACTTTCAACTCCAAAGGTCTCTAGGGGCCCGGAAGACAATGTAAGGGAGTGAAACAGCTCTGGTGTAAGGCTGTGGGGAGTGGTAAAAGCTGAGGGGACCCAGAGAGCACCTGCCCAATGGAGGGGGGTGTCAGCTCCAGCCCACTGCCGCCACGTGAGACTCATGAGGATTTTTTTTTGAAATCTTGTACTTTTGAAGTGTTTACAGACTGGGTAAAGGGTATTAAAGATGACTTTTGTGTACGAGTTTTCTGTAGCTGCCTTGGCAGTTTAACATAAATTTAGCAGTTTAAACAACGCAAAGTTATTGTTAACAGTTCTGTAAGTCAGAAGTCCAATATGGGTCTCACTGGGCTAAAATCAAGGTGTGGGCCAGGCTTCATTCCCTTTTGAGGGCCCTGGGGCAGTCTTGCTTATCTGGGTTGTTGGCAGACTGGTTATGAAGAGTGAAACTCTGTTTTCTTGCTGGCCATCAGCTGAGGATTCTAAAGGCTGCCCACTTTCCTTGGCTTATGACTTCCTTCCTCCATCTTTAAAGCCAGCAGTGGTGAGTTGAGTCCCTCTCACACTTCATTTCTCTACTCCTTCCTTCTCATCTCTCTGACCCAGCTAGAAAGGTGCTCTACCTTTAAAGGACACTTGTGGTTACATTGGACCTACTTGGGTAATCCAAACTCTTCAAACTCATCTCAAGGTTCTTAACCCTGACCACATCTGCCAAGTCCCTTTTGCCACATAAGGTAACATAGTCATAGCTTCTGGGGATTAAGGCTTAGACATCTTCAGGCTGATACTCTGCCTACCATACCTGGCTTCTGACTGAAGATGAAGTAAACAGTTTTGACATTAGTTCTAGGCCTGCCTGGTCCTCAGGTCCCATCTTTTGGGCCCTGGGAAAATCCTTAACATCACTAATGAAATATACCCCATAGACAAAAAGAAATGAAAGACAAAAGGAATCTCAAATTTTATATAATCAGATTGTTAGCAATGATATTGAAATTGCTTTTCTGAAACAGTTATATATTATAGGAAAAAACAAATAAGTAACAATGTTAAGAACCTAGATTTTTAGCAAAAGAGATAAAATATATAACACCAGATAAAGACATCGCAAGAAAACAGTAGACCAATATCCATTTTGAATGTAGATGCAGAAATCCTCAACAAAATGCTAGCAAACCAAATTCAGCAATGTATAAGAGGGATTATACACCATGACCAAGTAGGGTTTATCCTAGGAACAAGGTTGGTTCAACATATGAAAATCAATCAATGTAATACACTTTATTAAAACAATAGAGGAACAAAACCCATGTGATCATTTCAGTAGATGCAGAAAAAGCATTTGACAAAATCCGATATTTTTCTGTTACAAAAACATTCAACAAACTAGGAATATAAGGGAACTTCATCAAGTTGGTAAAGAACATCTGTGGAAAACCCACATTAACATTATATTTATTGATGAAAGATTGCAAGCTTTTCCTCCTAAGACCAGGAACAAAATAAGGGTGTCTGCTTTTGCCACTTCTTTTCAACATTGTGCTGGAGTTTCTAGCCAAAGCAATTAGACAAGAAAAAGAAATAAAAGGCATCTAGCTTGGAAGAAGTGAAACTATTTTCTCATGACATTGTCTTATGTATATATAGAAAAACCTGAGGAATACACAACTACACAAAATTAGTAGAACTAATAAGGGATTTCAGAAAGTTGCAGGATACAAGTTCAATATACAAAATCAATCATATTTCTATACGTTAGTGAGAACGATCTAAAAAGGAAATACATATTTACTGGATATTTCTCCAGAAAAGATGTACAAATGGTCAGTAAGTACTTGAAAATATACTCAACATCATTAGTCATTAGGAAAATGCAAATCAAACCAAATGAGTTACCATTTCACACCCACTAGGGTGGCTATAATCAAAAGTATGGATGATAACGAGAGTCGGTCAACATGTGGGAAATTGGAGCCCTCATAGGTTGCTAGTGGGAATGTAAAATGTTCTTACCACTTTGGAAAACAGTTCAGCAGTTCTTTGAAGAGTTAAACATGGAGTTATATAGTCCAGCAGTTCTACTACTTGGTATCTACCCAAGAGAACTGAAAACATGTCTACACAAAAACTTATATATGAATGTTTATACCAGCATTATTCAAAATAGCCGAAAGGTATCCAAAATGTCAATCAGTTGATGAATACATAGATAAAATATGGTCTGTCCATACACTGGAATATTATTCAGCCATAAAAAGAATGAAGTCTTGATACATGCTACAACATGGATGAACCTGGAAGACATGTTGATTAAAAGAAGCCAGACACAAAAGGCCACATATTATATGATTCCATTCACATAAAATGTCCAGGATAAGAAAACCAATGGAAACAGAAAGCAAATTAGTAGTTACTAAGAACTGAGGGGAGGGGATAATAAGTAGTGACTACTAATGGATATGAAGTTTATTTTAGGGGCAATGAAAATGTTCTGGAATTAGATAGTGGTGATGGTTGTACAACTTTGTGAGTATATTAAAAACTACTGAATTATATACTTTAAAGGGGTGAATCTTATATTGAATTTTATGGCATGTGAATTATATCTCAAAAAGGACATGTAGTATAATATTAAGGTTCAGTAAAACTCTGTAGTCCTATCAAATATAAAACTTCAGCATGAACTCATGGTGCATGTATTAAAAATATATTTCTAGCTCTGGGGCACCTGGGTGGCTCAGTCAGTTAAGGGTCTGCCTTCAGCTTGGGTCATGGTCTCAGGGTTCTGGAATTGAGCCCCGCATCAGGCTCTCTGCTCAGCAGGGAGTCTGCTTATCTCCCAGTCCCTCCCCCACTTGTGCTCTCTCTCTGTTTCTCTGTCTCTTTCTCTCAAATAAATAAAATCTTTAAAAAACAAATGAAATAAAATAAGCATTTCTGGCCCTGACCACTGTAAAGGCATACAAACCATAACCAACCCAGTAGTAACAAATGCCCTTAGCACCCATATTGCAGTATCCAAGTGGTGATCTCGATGATAATCAGGAGTTGGGGTTCCTTGGCAGAATGGCTGATCCAGGTTGGGGCAAAAAATGTACAAGTTAAGCCTGGAGAATCTTTTGTAATCTTTTATCAGGAAGCAAGGACGTTATCAGTACTCTGTGGTCATATCCAAAGGACTAGGAGCCAACTTGCGAATACTTTCTTGGACTCAAGATGGTATTATTTGGGAACCATTAAGAATAATAATATTTGCACTGAACTGAAATATATTAATTATGTGAAGATTTATGAGTTCATAATGAAAACAAATAATTGGCCATCTTTGGAACATAGTAGAGAACCAAGTCATTCTGAAAACTGATGATCAAGAATGTGTCATGTCTTTCCTATACTTTTCCTATACTTTCCTGTACCTCAACCAAATAGTTGTTGTGAACATTTTTCTTCATTATAATATCCCAGCCAGTAAATGAAGAATGATAGAGTAAAAGTATCACCATTTTGCAAGCCCCTGATGAACTGAAGGATTTAGGCCCTGATCATCAGTGGCCACCAGCATCACAAAAGGGAAGATAACTGGGCAGTACGTGCTTCCTGTAGGAGGCTCACACCACTATGAAGAGGTCGCCAGAATGTCTCACTGACTTAGGTCAAGCCGCTAGACGTAGCTACCAGTTTACAGGAGCCAAAGGGGGCGGACAAAGGAACATGTTCAGAGACACCACAGCAATGCGAGCAGCAAAATGCAGACTGTGGGAAATCCAATAGCACAGTTGACCCAGTTTCTTCAACAAACAAACTATAAGGAAAAGAGACTTAGAAGGTGCATTAGCTAAAGACAGCCGTAGGCCTTGTCTTGATCCTGATTTCAACAACTGTGAAAAGATAGAAGATCAGGGAAACTTGAACACCAACTAGATATTTGATGATATTAAGGAACTATGTTAATCCCTTTGGGTGTTACAATGACATTAAAGGCCCATGGGGCCGGGCCTCCCATCCCCATGGGAGGGATGGGACTCCGGAGAGAAAGGGGTAAATGTCCCCTCTGCCAGCAGAGCCCAGGGAGGGAGAGGGGAGGGGGTTAAGCCTGTGAAGCCCGGTGTGTTCATCCAAATGCGTGGGCAAATGACTTCTCCACTGGTGAGGAGTGTGCGAGGGGTGAGGAGAGAGGCCAGAGCGTTACTGAAGGGTTGTCTTCCACCTGGAATCACGAGGATGGGCAACCATGCTCCTGTCGCGCCTGAGGCTTAAACAGGTTAGCACATGGAGGACACCAAACCCTAGTGCTACTGTCGTGGGTTTGTAACTGCTTCTATACAAGTCGGGGGTTCTTGTAGACATACCCCTCTCTACCATGTGTGCAGGAAATTGGAAGCATGACTTCGGGATGCTAAGTGGAAGGAGGTTCTAAAGTGACTGAGCTGTCCCTGGCTGTCACTCATTCCCTGAAGGCTAGAAAGGAGTGGCATTTGTGGTTCGCCAAACCATGTGCTTATGGAGTTCTCTTGGCAAGATGAGAGCTGAACCTGTTGTCTCCTATGCCCTGTGTCTCCCTCTAGCTGCAACGGCAAACGCTACCTGGAGACACTCCCCAACACCAGTATCATCATCCCCTTCCACAACGAGGGCTGGTCCTCCCTTCTCCGCACCGTCCACAGCGTGCTGAACCGCTCACCCCCGGAGCTGATTGCCGAGATTGTGCTGGTTGATGACTTCAGTGATCGAGGTAGGACCCTCACCCCTCACCCCAGCTTCCTGCCCCTGCGCTCCATCCAGTGACTGGCCAAAGGGGTGGCAGGTTTTCTTCTTCAGCAGCACCAGCAGATGGGCCACCGTTTACTGATGCTTGTTGTGTGCCTGGCAATGACCCTGGCCCTATACACAGTATCTCATTTAGTCCTCAAAACATCCCGTGAAGTAGATTCTGTTTTTATCCTATTTGTATCAATGTGCGCTGAACTGCAAATAACAGAAAACTCGATAAACAATAGCTCAAACAGGTAAGGGCTCATTCATTCATTCATTTCACCATAAGATCCAGGACTGGTATAGCTGCCTCAGGCTGTCATCAAAGAACCAGGCTTCTCTGTTCCTTCTTCTTCATCCTCGTGGTCCCAAAATAGCTGCTGTACCTCTGGGAAGTCTGCCTTCCAGGCAGGGAGAAGGAAGAAGGGTAAAGAGAACAAAGCCTCCCTTTTTCAAGATTTTGCCTTCTTATTCAGGAAAGACTTCTGGCCAGAAAACTCTGACATCCAGGCCTCCCTATCTGCCAGGGTGCCTGGAAATGAAAGTGTTTTGATTTGGGGCATCTTGAAGAGAGGTAGGAAAGGGAGATGTACATTAGAAAAGGGGCTGAGCATGCCTTTCTCTGGGCTCTGCCACACAATTCTACAGCTGAGAAGACTGAGCTCCAGTTCGCCTGCTCTAAGCAGTCTCACTGCCTGGTTGAACCTATCGGCCTCCAGTGTCAGGGCTCTACTAGGTACTGTCCAGGGGTACCAGCCACAGCTGCCCTCTCCTCCAGCAGGCCAGGTTCCATCCTGCCTCGGGATCTTCCCCGCTGCTCCCTCTACCTGCATGTCCTCCTGCCAGCTCTTCTCATGCTGGCTCCCCACACCATCTTCGGTTAGGGGTGTCATCAGCACTGCTCACTCCACTGCGTGTGTCGTTGCGTAGTTGCATGGCTCTTTGTTGTTGGTCCTCCTCACTAGATCATTCGTGGTCTAGAGCAGGGGATCCGTGACTGTGTGCGACTGAGTGAATGAATGGACAAGGAGGGAGAAAGCACGTCCCAGCCATACACGCACTCACACATACGCACGCGCACGCGCATACATGCACACACACATGCATACGCACATACATACACGCACACAAAGCCACACCAGCAGCAGGGTCATTTGCAGCCACGGAGATAGCCGTGGCTGGGGAAGACAGACGTTCCTTCCATGGCTGGTGCTAGCCGGTGTCTCTGTGCTCAGCTGCAGATCCCCGTCACCTGTGTTCTGAAGCAGCAGCTGTCCAGGGGGTGGACCCTACACCACTTGGCAGGATCCCTGTCTGAGTGTCGTGGGGCACGAGTCCCCCAGAGGTAGAAGAAACCACACATCCACTGGATTAGAAACAAGTGTGTCTCCCTGCTCAATTAGAAAAGAATTTTAAGACCATCTAGGCTGTTGGCTTTCGGTGTGCATCTCAGAGCAGTAGAGGCCCAGGGGTGCCTCAGGGAGCACTGTGAGCAGTAGGGTGAGCCTTACTGGGCAGTGGGGCATTGGGGGGCGGGTGAGTTCAGCTCCCTCTCCTGGCGTGGTCTGTGTTTGGTTTCTGAAAAGGTGTTCACTAAGAGGAGCTGCACTGCTTATGAATGCATGATAATCACAGATACCACTCAGCCTGCCCCTTTTACAGGTGGGAAACCCAAGGCCTAGAACTGTGGTCAGGCTTAACTAGAGCTCACAGCTGGCTGGTTGCAGAGGAAGGACAAGAAGCCTGTCTCGGGGCTCCCAGGGCGGCCTGTCCCTCCTCACCTCAGCTGGTTATGAGAAACGTGGCAGAAGTGTGGCACTCTTCTCTATCCCCAAGGACACTTCTCAATAAATTACTTTTCCATTGTATTAAAGAGCAGGGTTCTTTCTAGAAAGAGCTCATTATAAAACACATCCAATCCTGGGCTATAATGGTTTGCACCTCTAATATCCCAATTTCCTCAGTGATAAAAATAACATGATATACCCACCCCCCCAATAATAAAAGAACGTGAAAGTCTTCAGAAAGAAGAGGTAAATTTCATAAGAATGACATTTTCCAAGTGCATCTCTTTCTCCAGAGAGCAAAAATACTGGTCCAATGTGGTGCCATTGTGAGACCCTAATAGGATAGGGAAGAGAAAAGATACTATCCCTATTTCCCAGATGAGAATGAAAACTAAGGCCCCGATTGTTGCCCCTTTTCCTCAGTGAATCAGGCGTGCAACCCAGAGGCCAGCTCTTACCTCATGCCCCTCAGTCCTGCACAGTGGCTGTCAGATTTCCCAACCTGCATTTTTCAGAAAAGCAATCATTATTCTGGTTTCAAGAAGGAATTCTTAAGGCAGCTTTGGAAGAAAACTTACTCAGCAGTGATTGTTTTAAAAATGAGATTTGGGAGAAGCAATTTCAGAACTATGGAGAGGCCTGTCCAAAGTACAGCAAATACGGGCCATCATAAAAGACAGATGTCTCTGGGCCCTGTGAGCAGAGGCAGTTCTCAGAGTTGAAATTCATAGATGCTAACTACGGGCTAGATTGGGGCTGCCCAGCAGAAGGCATTTTCCTCTGAAATGAGTCTCCTCCAGGCTCCTCAGGGCAACTAATTGTAATTCAGCTAAGGGTTGAGACCTTGGGTAGGAGACAAAATTGGAGCAGATGAGTGCTTGAAATAAGATCCAGGGCTCTGTGCAGGGAGCGCTGGGGAGTAGACTGGAGGCTGGTGCTGACCCCAGAACAGTCATGGCCTTGCCTGCAAATAGAGCGTGCCGAGTTTTCCAGGGGTGTCCAAAAGCTCTTCAAATGTGTGAGCTTTGCTTGAGGATTAGGAGGACATGGAGGTGTTTTTGTACCAGTGGGAAAGAGAGATGAGGGTAGAGAGGAGCAGACCTGCCTCCAGATTACGCTGCTCGGATGGGAGATGTTTTATTAGAAGAAACAAGAGAGGCCTTTGTTCATCTGGTTTTTTTTCTATTCCTTTTCTCCTTCTTCTCCGCACTTTCAAATAGGGTTGGTTTTGCAGAAAAATAGGATATGAAGTAATGGAAAGGGTTATTGTCCTTGGCTGAATGACGATGGGCTCTCTGGAATGTTCTCCCATCAGGGAGCAAACAAACAAGCACGTGCACTGGGAACGGTGCCCTTGAAGGAAACCTTAAGCAAGAGTTTCAAGTGTTTGCAGAGCTCGTGATGGTTCATCAGCAGTGATTGGTGCTGGGAGGATCGTGGACATTGCCCGACCCACTGGCTCACAGAGGAGAGGCCCTCACTGATGAAGCTGGAGTTGGGTCCTCTTTCCATGATGGGCTTATTAATTCTGACCTGCACTCTCATACCATTGCCAGTCGTGGGGACCCGTCAAGGACATCCATTTTTGCCCTGTCCTACTCTGCATTTCAATACACCGCTCTTGACACTGCATACAGGTCTGTTCCTCTCTCAGCCTCCGTCTGCTGCCAGGAACCCCACAACTCTTGGGGCGGCCATTCCCCACCTGCACCGTACTGTGTCCGTTCTTTCACCCTGAGATTTGTACTGTGTATTTTTTCTCTACGCTTGTCCCGATTTAATTCAAATTCATATATTCAACAAATTTCATGAATTGATTGTACTCGATGCTGTACTAGGCACGCTGGGGATAAAACAGAACCAAGACAGACATACCCCCCAAAGACTCACATCTAGAAGGGCAGACCGATGAGGTAAGAGACAATCATAAGACCATGGAATGTCTGCCTGTCGGTGGAGATCCAGGCTCTGTGGAGCACAGAGAAGGTCAGGGAACACTTCACAGAGAAAATTCCAGCTAAACTCAATCCTAATGGGTAAGTAGATAATACTCCCCAGGGCATGGGAAGAGGCAGAGAGAACAGCATGAGCCCGGGATAGGAGTGAAGGAGAAAACTTTGAAAGTGCAGAAAGAGCTGATAACCTCATCATCTGCAGGCAATTACTATTAGCATTTAGGTCCCCCCCCCCCCCGCTCAGGTTTGTCTGTCTTAATACACTTTATCTTGTAGATCAAATTTAGGTTCACTGCAAAGTCAAGCCGAAAGTGCAGACAGTTCCCATATGCCCCTCCACCCGCACCCCACACGTAGCTAGCCCCCAGACCCCGTCAGTGCTCTGCACCTCCGTCAGAGTGGTCCAGTGGTGACAACCGATGGACCTATGTTGTCACATCATTATCACCCCAAATATATAGTTTTATATTGGGGTTCGCTCTTGGTGTCATATATTCTGTGGGTTTGGACAAATGTGTGAGGACATATATCCACCATTATGGGGTCGTATTGAATAGTTTCTCTGCCTTAAAACTCTTCTGCCCTGTGCCTGTTCATCCTCCCCTCCCCCTAGCCCCTGGCAGCAACTGACCTGCTTGCTGTCCCCATAGTTTTGCCTTTTCCAGAGTGTGTGATGTAACTGGAATCATACTGTATGTAGCCTTTTCAGATTGGCTTCTTTCCCTTAGTAATAGGCATTTAAGGTTTCTCCTTGTTGCTTTATGGCTTGTGGCTCATTTCCACTCGCTGCAGACTAATACTCCATTATCTGTGGCTATCGTGGTCTGTCTGTCTGCTCTTCTGCTGAAGGACATCCTGGTTGCTTCTGAGTGTGGGCAGTTATGAATAAACCTGTTACAAACATCCATGCACAGGTTTTTGTGTGGACATGTTTCAACCCTCGTAGATAAATAGCAAGGAGCACAGTTGCTGGATTACATAGTAGGAGTGTGTTTAGTTGTGTAAGAGACTCTGTGAATGAGAGTTGTTGTTGATCCTCACCCTCATCGGCATTTGGTCCTGTCAGTGTTGTGGATTTGTGCCTTTCCGATAGGTGTGTAGGAGGATTTTGTTGCTGTAATTTGCATTTCCCTATGATCTTTGCTGTTGAGCATCTTTTCAGATGCTTCTCTGCAAATTGTATGTCTTGTTTGGTGTCCACTGTCTTTTCATTTCCATTTCCTTTTTCATACCCTCCC